GCCGGAACATTCACCTTGAAAATTCAAGATGCTAAACTCAATCGTTGGCGGGTTACCAACAATTCCAAATGTTAGACTGATTTGTCGTTAATATTACATTCCAGGGGGTGTAGGTTTTTCTCACTAGAATGTTTGTTTTTATAAATTTGCCTGTTATGTAATCATGATTTGAATAATTTTGTATTAAGTAAGTCGTTTAAATAGTTCAAATATATTGTTTTCGAATGATTAGGATTTTTAAAAAAATGAAGAAATGCGTACTGACACCCTGTGACGAAAAATGGTTCAATGTTTATCAGCGCATCTGAAAATAGCAACAAATAATTAATATGCTGGTATAAGCGGCAGTACAACTATAACGTCGTCATAATATAATCAACTGTGCTTCATCAATTTAAATTTACATAAACGTATATTAACTATGTTATTTTGGTTAACCAAACTTCTACTTAGATGTTTTACCTTGTTGACACAGCAATTAAAGATTGAAAGTTAAAAAAATATTAAGAAGGTATTTCAGTGATGACCTCATTCTTATTCAGCCCACACAACATCATAAATAGCAATGGGGTTGAGCCACTAGTATATTGATTTGTATAAGGCCTCAACAGTACCAATGACCTCATTTGCATTCAAGACTCTGACACGTATCATACCACAGGGTTTTAAAACAACATTGCAAACAGCAAGGCAATTCATACATGCCTCACTTGCTGAGGTAAAAACAATGCAATAAAATAATTTTCCACTGTAAAGAGCAGCTCTACCTTACCTTCCATTACGTTGGGTCAATATAAAATCTCAGGTTATTTGGAAATGGCGATTGACCCTCGTACCCACCTTCTTGGTGTGCCTAATAATGTTTGTGTTTTACTTAAAGATTGACGAACAACAACCATCCACTATCACATCTGACTTACTTTTAACTTTCAACTTCCGACTATTATAGCATTGCCTGAACGTTCCAGCTTCTATTGTTTTTATAAAATATGCCCTCACATACCGAGATTTTTTTTTTTTTCATTTTGAATCTCACCACACAAGACATGATGGCATATGTCATATCTTTAATCATTCGACCAACCAGCATGACAGGAAAATAATAATTGTATCAGTTCGCATCATGCCATCGAAATTGTTGCATTGCTGGAAAGACACAGTGCATTTCACTTCTGACAGTAGAATATATAGTAGTAGAATAAATAACCACCAACACATAAATAGATTAGGAAAAAAAAACTCAACTCATCCAAATGTCAAATAAGTTTATTGATTTATTGATTTCAGGGAACTATGTTTGTTTCACTATTATTTGGTGGTCTAATCATGATGGCATTTACATCAAATGCTCAAGATCACCCTGGAAACCCTGCTAATGGCACTTGCGTGGATTGTAATGATGTTATGTACGACAATGGAGTATGGCATAGTGTATGCACTGAGGATTTCACCTGCCCACTTAACATAGCAGATATAGAAAATAGAATTATGGGGAAAGACGTTAAGTTTAATGAAACATATTATTATGGAAAATCAGCATTCATACCTGGTACACGTCACTATGAGTCCAACGCAATACTCGCATCACGAATCGACTCCATTAAAAAGAGTGATATAGTATGTTATTTTATATTCTTTTGTCAATTTTGTTTAGCACACCACCAGTGATATAATTTTGCTAAATCAAGTCAAGCATTATCTATGTGTTGACACAACTAATAAGTAGTATGTTTAGTGAGATATTACTGTAAATGATCATACTATAATATCGCAATATGTGCGTGCGTGTGCTATGGAGACTATAGAGCCAGTTTTGATCTTTGTGTTAAAGCAATGATTTCCATATTTCAGGGTTCTAGTTTTGACAAATTCACTGCAAAAGAGAGACATTCATACTGCATAATGTACAACATTTACTGATATTGTGTCCTAACTGGGTTGTTATTAATAGTCTGTTTCATATTAATCAAAACACTTTGTATATATCAATATACATTGTTTTACAGGGAACAGAAGCGGTGCCAACTGACAATTGTCAACAATGTCGGGAATATGCTATAGGAGACACATGGGTCCAATGCGTTTGTAAAATAGTGGTGAGTGTCTTGCGATGATTATTGATATGTCTAAATACACT